GTACCCGGCTGTCACCCTGGTGTCACCCCCTGTGCCTGGCACCCCCCATGGCCTGGGCACGAGGGACACAGAGCCGTGACCCAGATCGGGAAATGATCCGGATTATGGGGAAATAAATCCCTGGGGCCAGGGAGCAGAGGGGGAGAGAGAGGCCTGGATGGACAGAGCCAGGGCTGGATGGACAGAGCCCGGCCTGGATGGACAGAGCAGACCTGGATGGACAGAGCAGACCTGGATGGACAGAGCCAGGGCTGGGCAGCTCCGTGGGCACTCCCTGCCCATGCCCAGCTGCCCCTGGCACACTGCCCCCAGCAGTGAGCATCCAGCCCCGGTCACTGTGACATTCTCCAGTGCCAAGGAATTAAATAATCATTTATAATCAGGAAATAAGCTTTTGTTCCTGGTGGGCAGTGGGGAGGGACACACAGGTGGGGCAGCTCAAGGTTTCACAGCTCATTGCAGTCAGGGCTGGACAATGCCAACCCTTGGAGCATGTGTCCATGTCCCAGCCCCTGGGAGGGAGGGAAATTGGTCTGGGGGAAGCTGGAACCCACCCTGGAGGACTGGAACCCACCATGGAGGGTTGGCACCAACCACCCCAGAGGTGCCAGGGCCAGCATAGCCACTACCACCCCTTGGGGACAGGACAATGCCCTGTGCTGGGCAGCAGAGAATCCAGAGGGATTTGGGGCCAGTCCCCCTCATTCCTGCTGCTTCCCAGCTGCACTCAGGGGCATTTGGGGCCAGTTTCCCCCACTTCCACTGCTTCTCAACAGCATCCAGGGGGATCTGGGGCCAGTCCCCCTCATTCCTGCTGGTTCCCAGCTGCACATGGGGGATTTGGGGCCAGTCCCCCTGTTCCCACCGGTTCCAGGGCAGCCCAGGCTCTCCTGGCTCCCATCCCACAGCGGATCCAAGCCAGCCCTGGGCCATGGCAGCAGCAAAGCATTCAAGCTTCATCTGAGCGCAGAGAAAATTGTTTCCTTAAACAGGTTTATTCCTCGGAGGGAGGTATTTGCTTGAGAGATTTCCACTGGAAATTAAATCTTTCCTGGGATCCGGATAAACAGCCCCAGTTCCACGGAGCTGGGCTGCCGGCTGATCCCCAGCCTCAGTGGGGACTGGGGGGCTGGGAGTGACCCTGAGGTGGCCCTGGGCCGTGTCCCCATCCCTGTCCCCGTCCCCATCCCGGTCCTTGACCCTTTGGCAATGCCAGCATCCCCAAGAGATCCCGGGGGAGATGGAGGCAGCACCCAGAGCTCCAGGGGTGCATGGGGATGGATCCAGCACCCCGCTCGGGGGTCAGTGGGGACCGCCCGGGACATCCCGGGACATCCTGGCCCCGCCCCCTCTCAGTCCCTGCCTGTCCTTCCTGCAGCTTTTCCCTTCCTTTCCCCACCTTTTCCCACTGCTGCTCCCTAATGAATTCAGAGAGTTCCAACGATGATTTCTGAGAGAATGGAAAACAATTATTTGCTCTGGTGGGGAATAGATGCTGTTTAGTCTGCATTTAATGGAAAGCTAATTAAATTACATGAGCAAGTGAATAGAAATTTTTTGTTAATTATGGATTTTGCGAGCTACAAAGGCGAAGTGATGATGATGGAGCCTGTGATGTGCTGCCCTTCTCCCCAGCACAGAGATAAGATGACAACAGAGAAGGAATGGTGGGAGCTCACTTTAACTCATCCATCAATTCTCCAACAGCCGCCTGAGCCCGATCCATTACCTGGGATCCACAGAGCTGATGGTGACTGGCAGCTGGGGGCTAATTATCTTCAGACTGAAGAAAGGTTGGTTAAATAAATGTGTGTTTCTTCTGGAGGTGGCTGGGGAAGTCACAGACTCACGGAATCCCAGAGGGGTTTGGTTGTAGGGATGTAAAGTTTATCCCACTTCACCCCTGCCCACTATCCCTGGGTGCTCCAAGCCCTGGGGCTGGGCTGGACCTGAGCCCAGGGTTGGGGCAGCCCTGATCCTGGGCCTGGGACATCCCTGGAGCCAGGCCTGGAGCAGCCGTGAGCCCAGGGATGGAATATCCTTGGCCAGGGCCAGGATGTCCCTGACCCCAGGGCTGGAGCATCCTTGACCCCACAACCACGGCCTCTACGACCCCAGGGATGGAGCATCCCTTACCCCAGGGCCTCTCTGACCCCAGGGATGGAGAATTTCTGATCCCGTGTCTGGGACATCCCTGGATCCGGGTCTGGAGCACCCCTGACCCCAGGACTGGGGCATTTATTACTCCAGGGATGGAACATTCCTGGCCTGACCTGGAACATCCCAGGAGTCAGGGCTGGAGCAATGTGACCCCAGGACTTGGACATCCTTGATCCCAAACCTGGGACATCCCTGGCATCCATGGCTGGAGTGTCCCTGTCCCCAGGGATGGAGTGTCCTTGACCCCACAGCCATGGCCTCTATGACCCCAGGGATGGAGAATTCCTGATCCCGTGTCTGGGACATCCCTGGATCCAGGGCTGGAGCACCCCTGACCCCAGGCCTGGGGCATTTCTGACCCCGGGGATGGACCATCCCTCACCCCGGGGCTGGAGCACTCCTGACCCCAAGCTGGGGTGTCCTTTACCCCAGGGCTGGGCCATCCCTGGACCCAAAGCTGGAGAATCCCTGGGATTGAGATGTCCCTGTGCTCAGGCTGCTCCAGTCCTGCCCAAACAGATAAAAAACTGGATTTGGTGTAAAAATATCAGTCTAGTGAAAAAACCTGATTTCTGTGTGTTCTGTTTATACCCATGGCAGGGAGAGCTCTCTCTGGCATAAAGATACAGATGGTTTTTGACTTCAGACACTCGGGTTTAGTGGAAAGAGAGGATTTTGTGTACCTGGGGAAGAGATCCCATCTGGCTGCTCCTGCCCTGGGGAGGCAGAGCTCAGCTGGGTCAGATCCAGCCCCTGCCACAGCCAGGTGGCCATGGGGGACAGGGGACATCCCTGTCACCCCACCATGGCATGTGGGGTGGCAGAGAAATGGAGTCTCAGCCTTGATGGGGGCATTCCTCTCCCTTCTCCATCCCACAGGAGATTTGGGATGAGGTTCTGACCCCTCCAGGGGTGTTGGGGAAACTAAGGCACAACAGGGCTTGGTGGGAGCACAGCCGGGGATCAAAGCACAGAGCCTGATGGCTCCCTCCAATTTCCCATCCCCACAATTAATTACACAGCCCCTTTTTGGATTTCCTCCTGGTATTTTCTCTGTAATTTTGGCCATTGGGGTTTTTTCTTGCACACAAAGCCCAGGATGGGGGTGTGGAGTGGCAGGTTCTGAGCAGAGCAAAGCACAAAGCCCTGGGCTCATTTCCCACCCTCTCCCGGATGAAGTTGTCTCCCCTCCTTCCAGGGAAGCTCCATGACAGGGTTTATTGACCTTTTTTTAATCTAAAATTGATTCTTTGCAAAACTCCACCTGCTTGGGAGCCAGGCAGGATCTCAGCGCCATTGGATGGGAATTTATGATTTTCCATCGGAGCATTTTGCCTTTCCCTGGTGTTTTTGGGGGCTGCAGGAGGGCTGAGCTGGGCAGATTTGCGTGGCCATGGCCAAGGAGATGCTGTGAGGTGCTTTGGTCCTTATCATTTCTGACCTGTGAGGTGATCCCAACCCCTCTGCTCTGAATTTCTGCTGTGTTTAATGCCAGAGGAGCCCAAAAGCTGAATCCTGGAGTTGTGGCTGTACCAGGATAACCCTCACGAGCCTGGGACAGAACGGGGTGAAGGTGATGGGGTGAAAACCTCTCCCAGGTGAAAACCTGGGGATCCTGGAGCCAGGAGAGCTGGGAGGGATGGCCCAGCCCACAGTGGGGGTGTCCCAGCTCCACAGCTGGGATCCTGGGCAGTCTGCAGGGAGGTGTGGGAATACTCAGGGCTGGTGGAGGTCACTCAGCCGGGCCAGGGTGGAATAAACCACTAAACCACGTCTGAGTCTGCTCCTGCTCCCAGGAGCCCGGTTCAGAGCATCCCTCGAGGAACCTGCTGCATCTTTGCACTGAATGCACAAAAGCCAAGCGTTTCCTGCAAAGCCCCGTCCTTCAGCCTCCCCCAAGGCTCCCGGGAGCACGGAACAGCCCCGGGGGGAAGAGAAATCCCCATCGTGGAGGATGAAGGAGAAGCTCCAGGTGTGGGAGGTGCTGCAGGCTGGTCCCAGCAGCGCACAGGGATGAGCCCTGGCAAGCTCGGATGGGCTTGGACCACACACACAAATGCAGCTTCATCCCTCGGATGCCGTGTGGATGCTCTGACACCTAAGGCTGTGTGGGGCGGGTTTAGGAGATGCTTCCTTCTGAACATCGGCGCTGAGGATTAAGAAATCATGGAAATTAAAAGCAGCAAACTGTTTCCAAGTGCTTCTGCCAGGCGGCATTTGAGCCAGAGGTTTCTAAAGCGCTGGGAAAGCAGCATCCCGGTGATTACTCGCGGATGTCCCTGAAGGTGTGCTGTGAAAACAGAACAAAGGCGAGCGGGTGGGTAGCGGTGCGGGGCCGTGTCAGTCCTGTCTGCACCCACCTCCCTGCCCAGGCACTCTACCCCGGCCGGCCCTCGCTCCTGGCCGCAGCCGCGTGTGCCGAGCGGGGCTCTGCGGAGCGGGGCTCTGCGGGGGGATGTGGGGCGCTCCCGCCGGGCTCGGCCATCTGTCCTCCCCGCAAGCCCAGCTGCTGCGCTGGCATGGCCACCCCAGGGGAGGTGGCGGGGTCCCTGTGCTGCGGGTCCAGGCGCCGCCCAAGGGCCGCACGGCCGGGGGATGCGGGGGGGATACGGGGGGGATAAGGAGGGAGCCTCTCGCAGCCTTTCCCCAGGGTCTCACCCCGCCGCACCTGGCTCCGGAGGCGAAAAAAGAATAATAACAAAAATCTGCGATTTAAAAGGCAAACGCTGATGATTAAGGATAAGGATAAGGCCAGGCGGGAGCCGCGGTGCGGCGGAGGGGCCGCGCTGCCCGCACCCCCGGAGCGCCCGAGCGGGCTGTAGCGGGGTGGGGGGCGGAGAGAGAAGGGGGCGATGCCCCACGCCGAGCCCAGCCCGCCGCTGTGCTGAGCCGGCGGGGCTGGCCGGAGGCTGGAGAGCGGGACATGGTGCTGGAGCCCCCCGTGACGCTCCCCGGGTGGCCAAGGGGCGGCTGGTGAGGAGCTGGAGAGCGGCGGCGGAGCGAGGCCACGGTGAGGGAGCCCCGAGGATCCGGCTGGGGAGCCATGGGGAGATGCAACGGGCGATGCACGCTGGTGGGATTCTGCTGCCTGCAGCTGGTAAGGCTCATCGGCATGCCGGGGGTGCTTTGTGCGAGATGCTGCCTGTCACCGCTCCCCACGCCGCCTCGGCGGTGACCTTGTGTTGGGACCAGCTCGAGGATGCCTCACCATCATCCAAAAAAAACCCAGAGCAAAGAAAAAATGCTGATCTAAAAGACAGGCAGTGCCACCCTCATCTCCTGCCTCAAGCCAGCGCTGGCCGGGGAGGTGGATGGGGATCCCTTCCTTGCACTGTCAGTGCCCGAGGTTGCGTCTCCAGCAGGTGTGAGCTTTGTTCCCAACTGCAATCTCTTCCCTCCGAGTTCACTCCCGCCCGCGGTTTCCTATTCTGGTGACTCCACGGATGCGTCTCGGGGTGCTGGTCCCCTGAGCCGGGGCGAGAAGGAAACTTGGAGCCGCTGGCAGCACTTTGGAAACTCTGCTGCTCCTGAGCGGGACCCACCTGCCCGCGGTGGGGGGCACCGGGCTGTGGCGGCAAGGAGAAAGGAGAGGGTTGATTTTCACGGGATTGTAGGGTTTCACTTGTAGGGTTTCGTGACAATTCGGTGCCGCGCTTGCCGCCGCCCGCGAATCAATCTTCATCAGGCTCTGCCCGAGGAGCCGGCGAAGGCAGCGCGGGGGGGATCCGGGGGGGTTCTGCTCAAACCAGCGGCGGCGAGGTTGCGATTAATTATCCCGGCAGGGTGGTGCGTTAATGGAGAATCAGCAGCCTCCAACTTGCCCCCGCGGCCGTGCCGGGCTCGTCACGGCGAGGAGAGCAGGGAGGCACTGCTGAAATCTGTGGGGTCAGCTCGTGGTGTCCCCGGGGACGGGGGGTGATGGATGGATGAACGCGGCGATGGAAACGGGCTCCGGAGCCCTCTGGAGATGATGGTGGCATCCTGCTGACAGGCACTTTCTTCCCGGCTTTTGCTCATTCTTCATCCTCCAGAAGCAGCGGGTGGGGAGGAGTCCCCGCTTGTGGATGGGGGGTACACGAGGTGTTCGGGGGGGATGGGGAAGCTTTGAAGCCCGTGCTCAGCCCTGGGCAGCAGAGGCACAGTGGGATCATCCCCAGGCTGGAGTCCCCCATTCCCAGCAGGAATGGCCTCCGTGTCCCCAGCTGTCCCCTGGCTTTAGCCTGCGAAGTCTCGCTCGGCGTTTCACTCACCTGATCCAGGATAAATCCAGCGGGGCTTTTCCATGTGTGCAGGAGTTTCCTGGCTTTTGGTCATATTCCTTTTCACCACTCAGCTCCCAGGCAGGTTTGGTGGTGATTATTCCCCAAGATCTCCCAAATCCAAGAGGTTTTAATCTGTTAATTTCAGGGGAAGGGTGGATAGGTGTGAGATGCTGGGCTGGGAGAGCAGCTCGTGCTCACACCTGGAGGAACTTTATGCTGCTAGCTGGGGTCAGGCTGTCCCTTCCACCTTCCCCCTGTGTGTCCTGGTGATGTTGGCAGCCCCAAAGGCTCCAATCCTTTACCAGGGACCTTTCCCTTCCCACTCCAGGCTCACCCTGAACCAGCTCATCCTTTGGGATGCTCTCCAAAGCTCCTTCCTGGTTTTGGAGGCAGCAGCTTCCACCCTACCATGGGGAGATGCCCCCAACCCTCAGCTCCTCACCCTGGGGTGAAGGGTCTGGGTGCCCACTCACAGTCCTGTGCTGAGCCAGCCCCAGGAGACTGGAGGTGGCAGTGCCACCCAGGCGTCCCCTGGGGTGACCAAGGCCACCCTGAGGTGACACGACACCTGGACCAGGCAGAGCTGAGGTTTGGGATGGAGCCTCAGGGAGCGGGGATGATCCCTGACCCCATCCCTGCTCCCCTCCTGTGCTCCACCCCTGACATGGGATGGCATGGCAGGCTCATGTCCCCCCCCAGCTGCTGCTGGCACCTGTCCTGGGCCCTCTGCTCTGTGCCTGGGGACAGCTGTGCCCCCAGAGTGCCCAGTCAGGGGGCCAGGGTCACACTGCTGTGTGTGGGGCTGCCCAGGGAGGGCACAGCTCAGCTGAGCCCCCCTGGCCAGCCTGGGCCCTGGTGTCCCTTGAACAGCAGCGTGGTGACATCCTGAGGTGATGCCACCATTTCTGGCTGGTCCTCCCCACCCAGCCCAGGCACCTTCCCATGGCTCCCAGTGTGCCACTGTCCCCTCCTGGGCACCTTCCCATGGCTCCCAGTGTGCCACTGTCACCTCGTGGGCACCTTCCCATGGCTCCCAGTGTGCCACTGTCACCCCAGGCACCTTCCCATGGCTCCCAGTGTGCCACTGTCACCTCGTGAGCACCTTCCCATGGCTCCCAGTGTGCCACTGTCACCCTGTGGGCACCTTCCCATGGCTCCCAGTGTGCCACTGTCCCCTCCTGGCACCTTTCACAGCCCAGCTGGTTTCCCAGTGTTCATGACCTGCTCTCTCTGGTCCCAGGGATGCTCTGGATGCCCCCAGGTGCAGCTGGCACCACTGGGCACAAGGTCCCTGATGCAGAGGGGCCCTGCCCGCTCCAGCCCACACCTGAACCAGTTTGGGAAGCTGCTTTTTGGGCTGTGACACCACAGGAGCTGCTTTGGAGCATTCAGACATCCCCAAGCTCCTTCACCCTGGCGAGGCCGTGCTGCGAGTGCTGGCTGACCCCAGTCCTGGGGACACGCAGCACGTGCCAGATTTTGCCTCCATTTATGGCTTTTCCCTGAAAAAATCCTCTTGCCAAATCCCCACCCTGGCAGTGCCCGCCTCGGGAGGGGCCACCAGCAGATATTCATGATAATGAGGTGGGATGAAACCAAAACTCCGGGGTTTTGCTGGTTCTCCCACCAGCTGGGAGACACCAACCCCTCTGTACCCCCCTGTTGTGGGATTCACCCTCTCTTACGGGAAATGGGAATTCTGGGGGGGCTGGATGGGGCACTGAGCTGGCACTGCCCTGCTCGGGCATGGGGGAGCCACAGCGTTTGTCCCTCTGCAGCCTGGAGGTGCAGGGACAGCTGTGCTGCTGCCGGGGCTGGAACAGCCCTGGTGACAGGATACGGGACATCGGGACATTGGGATAGCAGGATAGCGGGATATCGGGATATTGGGACATCGGGACATGGGGATAGCAGGATAGCGGGATATCAGGATATTGGGACATCGGGACATGGGGATAGCAGGGTATTGGGACATTGGGACATCGGGATATCGGGACTGCCGGGGCTGGAACAGCCCTGGTGACAGGATACGGGACATCGGGACATCGGGATATCAGGATATCGGGACATTGGGATAGCAGGGTATCGGGATATTGGGACATGGGGATAGCAGGATATTGGGACATTGGGACATCGGGATATCAGGATATTGGGACATTGGGACATCAGGATAGCGGGATATTGGGACATTGGGATAGCAGGGTATCAGGATATTGGGACATCAGCATATTGGAACATTGGGATATTGGGATATTGGGACATCAGGATGTTGGGACATTGGGATATCAGGATATCAGGATACTAGAATAGCAAGATATTGGGATATTGGGACATCAGGATATTGGGATATCGGGGCATTGGGATACTGGGACACTGGGACATGCACTGCTGGCAGCTGTCGGGCCGGATCTGTCCAGCTGCTGTCACATGTCCCTCGGCCACCCCGCTCTGTGCCCCCGGCCGCGCTCAGGCGCTGGTGCAGGATGGATTTCCTCGAGCTGGCTCCTTCTCCATCCCGGACTGGCGATGCCACTGCCCCCTCCGTGCTGGATGGGGACAGGGACGCTCCGTGCCCCACCTCCGCCTGGCAGAGCCGGCAGCGCTTCCAACCGGGCTCTCGTTTCCTCCTTTGTTTCTCTCCTTCTCCTTTAATTGGCTGGAAAAGCAGAGCTGGGTTGGCACCTCCCGCCTGCCGGAGCCTGCCAGGGGTGCGGTGCGGGGCCGTGCGGTGACACGCGGTGACATGCCATGCCATGCAGTGCCACGGCAGAGCGGCGCTGGCATCCCCGGTCCCTGCGGGGCTGGGGCGCAGGAGAGGGGCCGCGGGTCCATCCCACCTTCTCCCCGAGCCGCGGGGCTCGGCAGGCACCGGGAGCCGCTGGGATGTGACCCCCGGCTCCAAGGCTGGAGAAGGATCAGGAGTTCGGCTTAACGAGGGATGGGTGAAGGGAGAGGATGATCCTTCATCCCCAGCGCTGGGTGTCATCCCTGTGCGACAGCGGGTCCCTCTTCCCGCCGGGGGCTCCGCGCCCCTCCCGTGCCTCCTTCCTGCTCTGATTTCCCCGGTTCGGTCACCGCCGGTGGGAACCACCCTCCTCCCGCAGCCGCCGGCATCTTTTGTCCTCGGCGGGCTCGGGGCGCTCGGCGCGGGGATGGCCCCGGCACCGGGGGCTGGGGCTGCCCCGGCCGCACCCCCCGCCCGGGAGGGGGGAAAGGAGCCCGGCCTGAACTCGGCATGGAGGTTTTCAATTACACAATTAAATGCACAATTAGGTGTAATTACCAGCGCTCAGAAGGTGCGACTGTTCATAATGGGCTTGTAATCTACTGCCGCCACTGTTTGTACTGCTCCGCTCCGCTCCCTAATGATTATGGAAAGCTTTCCCATTTGCATGGTTGCCATGGAAATGGGGGGCTGGCGGGAGCGCGGGGATGGCGAGGGGAGCCCCTCACTTCCCCGAGCCCCTCGTTCCCCACATCCCCTCTCGGTGGGGCGGGGGTGATGGGGGCGCTGATACCCGCGGCTCTGCGGGGTCACGGGGGCCAGCACCGAGCCACGAGGATCTTCCAGGGATCCAGAGCCGGTCCCAAGGTGGGAAACGCGTCTTAAAAGCCTGACAAACCCCACCCAGCCCGTCCCCTCGCCGGGTGAGCGCTCCGGGAGCCCCGCGGGGACCGAGGCTGTGGGTGGCCACCAGCCAGCCCAGACCTCCGTGTGGGTGAGCATCCTCCGGCACATCACATTCCAGGCTGCGCTGGAAAGGTTTATTGACGTGTGTTTGGGAAGGCAGAGCCTCACAGCTCGCAATTAAAACCGCGATTAAAGTGCCGTACG